GTGGAATCAATAATCTACCTGAAATTTGTGCCATCAGACAATTTATATGATTTGAATCTTATTAATGTCATGTTTTACTTCTTGATCTAATATATGGGCTTAGTCACACACAAAATTAGAATGTCACATGTCAAGTAATAGAGAGGCTTCATCACACAAAATTTCAAACCAATAGGCAGAGATAGTTCATAATTGTGCAGTGGGTTGGCAAGTTCCACCTAATACCACCAGTGCAACACCCAAATAAACAGTAAACTATTAAGTGATGAGCCCAAAGAACCTTCTAGGTAGTGAAACTATTCAGTAAAGGACAGCTACCTGAAGAAATTAAATTGCACAAAAGAGCTATTTGAATAGCAGTGCTTTGTTTATCTCCAGTTAACATCCAAAAATTGATTCCTGACTGTCTCAGTATTTCAATAGTTTCTGGCACACCATCCTATAGTCAGAACAAGCCAGAAGACAGGGACACAGGGTAAGAAAATGCCAAAAACAAATGAACGATATTAGCATACTTCACAAGAGAGGAAATCAAAGCAGAGGTAACACCTGGAGCCGATCCTCTATCGCACTGATACCAAGTATATCCAAGGTGTGCTCTAATTTCTGGCAAACCTCAGCAACTTTCCACTGCGAAAAAGAAGCATTACTGTTTTTAGTTTCAGTATAAACGTATGTAAATAAAGAAAATAACTACTACTCCCTCCGAGCGGAAAAAAGTGTCTCAGCTTTGAACTAAGGTTGTACTAAACCAGCGACGATTAATATGGATCGGAGGGAGTATGATAATTACCTCCCGGTCAACTAACGCGCTGTTGGCCTCCTTAAATAACCGAGACCATTCTAGGTACTCCTCCAAACTTAGCTCACGCCATCCCAAGCAGAGTGTGCGTAATCCCAGCTGAGCATATTTGTCAACCGCGTCAACAAATGTCTTTATTTGTTGTCCTGAAAAATTAAGATCATTAAATCTAATGGTCAACGCATGTGGAAATGATTGAGTTGCTGACAAAGCTATGTAGTTTTCTATGTTATATGCTTCTACAGAGGCAAAGAGTCAAGACAGAATGGATTAGCATCCATATGCAGAGTAAGAAACCAAGTCAATGAATAAAGAACAAAAAAGGGTGATTACCAGAATAAGCCAAAGGAAGAATAGCCTCATCTGCGCCTTTGGACAAGAGGAAAATCTTGCCACTTTGACTATCCGATATTACAACAGACATTCTTTTCCGATCAGAGGTGAATTCTAGAATGTCAAGTATCTCATATTGAATCACCCGTCTGTTGAAGTGAATTTCTGCTTAAAGCATTCCTTATTATTTATCCATAACAACCACAAGGACAAGAAACAAACAATTACAAGTCAGGAGATCATGGTGAAATGTACAGAAATTACCAGCATTATTTCCATTTTTGCTGACAAGCACCACATGCAAATTAGATGCTGCATTAACAAGAGCATCTTCATCCTGGGACTGAGCTTTATATGATATTGTTCCGCTAGGACTGAAGTGCAAAAAACAGGTAAAGGTAAGGTAAACGGAAGGAAGAAGGATTGTGGAGTGTCACTATCGCACAGGCAAAGATATAACCTTTTTATAGGAATAACTGTATTGCAAAGTGCCATGACTGTCAAGAATTTAATGACATGGGGCGAATTATCGGCAACAGCATTCAGCAGTTCAACATCTACAGAGAGAAAATGACATCAGTACACAGTGGTTACATCAATAATGCTTTTAAGAGGATGGGTGCAATTAACCAAATTCAGCAGAAAAGTAATTTATAAGACATGGTTAGCGATTTACTAGTTAATAACAAGACCTTTAGAGACTTAGTGATCAGAATAAACACGCCCTACTATTCACAACCCCTTGAATTCAATGCTAAGCTCACTAATGAAATCATACTTCAAAAGACAATCATTTTAATAAACATGATCAGGGCCCTACTTTTATGAGATTTTTACTGGCAGAATCAAGAAGAAATCTTTATAAGAGGATTAAATATGACCTTTAAGCGCGTCTCCACTTTCATTCCCATACAAGGTGCCTGCAATACAGCACCTTCTGAAGATCATTTTGTTCTCAGTCAGAGTCCCAGTTTTATCTGTCAAAATATACTCAACTTGTCCCAAGTCTTCACTAATTGCTGTGCTGAAAGTTAATGTGAGATGATTAGATTTAGAAAACAAAAAAAGGGAAAACATTTTACTTTACAAGAAAAATGCAGATGTTCACTTACTTTGCTGCGTGAGCAGGTGTATCTGTTTCCTGGTCGTACATCTCCTCGTCCCAATCTATGAACTTTGCATACATACTTTTAACAAAGTCCAGTGAAACCTACATGACACATAGAAAGTTCCTTTAAAAACTTGCTGTCAAAACTTCCTTTAAAAACTTAAAAGAAATATTAGCATTTACAACTATGTATTACTACTTTGAGGAAGCATTTAGCAGAAATTAAGTAGACCCCAGCTTATGCTAGAACAAACAAGGACTTCATTGGTTTCTGAACTAGACTCAAATTTGACTCAAGAAAAAGTCCCTAGCAGAACCCCAAATATATGTATTTCAGTTCAAATTTCTTCTATTTTTCACTGAATAAACTTGCTTTGAGATCATAATCTGGGTTGGGAATTCATGACTCATTAGCACCATGGGATTTCAAACACTAGTACAACTAGCAAAAACGGATAGGGTCCTGTTATCTTCATATGCTTGCTTCTTTGCTAGTACCCAGTGCAATATACTATTACCTCCATCCCAAATTACTTGTCTTAGATTTTTCTAGATACAGATGTATCTAACACTAAAACAAATCCGAGACAAGTAATTCGGGACAGAGGGAGTATATAGCATACTCTAACAAAGTTCGGTATCAGTGCTTTTGATTCAACAGGGGGAGACATCAACCTCGGTGGAGGTCCGTTTTACTCTACTAAAACAAAAATGTCATGTGCTGCCGTTGGTAAGGGTCCAAAGATAGGGAACTTGCCCTTATCTATGACTCCATGGTTAAGAGGCTATGGGGATTTAGTTTGTCTTCCGACTATTCCATTGCTTGATTCAAATTTAAATTATGGTTTACCCCACGCATTCAGCTGTGTTTCAAAGGTGGACTTGTTTATTTGACTAACTTGATGGTGCAAATATTAAACCACGAAATTATTAACATGAGACAGAAAATAGTTGCATAATCACATAACAGAAGAGAAGGAATTATATCAGAATTAGATGGACTGGCAGAGTAATACCTTTATTGAAATGGGAATCATAATTGAACACAATAGCTCAAACCGCAAAGGGATAACCAAAATCTGATACCATGGTTCATCATCGTCATACTTGACATACCATTGCTAAGAAATGATGCGAAGCATTGTCAGATGATCATATAAAAAAGTGTATAACTGTAACTGGCACATGATCGCCAAAAGGACAGGCTAACAGGTGCAGAGGAGCAGAAAAGGAAAACAGAAGGCTCATATTATTCATGAAGATATATGGAGCTTACAGAATAATAAATGAAGCCATGTGTTTGATTCCCGCTAGGAGGTTTGGGTTAGAGACTCTTCATGCGGGTTTTAGCTCTAATCTGGAAGGTGGTGATGGGGGAGGATATGTACAGAACTGGGTTAGTGATCATTTCTTAGATCTGCATTGCTGCACTATAACGGTTGAGCTAAAGGTTTTCAGGAACAAAAAAATAAATTGTCTTGAATGTGCAGATTCTATTGCTAGTTAGTGACTAGTGTGCTAGTGCTGCTTAAGATCAAGACTGTTGTTATGCTAATTTCTAGAAAGGACGAAAAGAAGAAGAGGAATACTAATGAAAATGATTGTTCGGCTAAGGGCAATGGTGATTAGGAATCAGTCCAATCCAGAACACAAAGCATTAACTCAATGATTAAAAGCATATAAACCATTACAGAAACCCATGAAAATAGAAAGCCCAATTGCTTCAACAATAATCATAGTGCCAGGCTTACAGAACTAGAATGCAGATACATGTCAAGGCCAATCTAAAAATCTTTTCTTTTCTATGATACAGCCTGGAATGTTTTGGTTGGTTATGAACCATGCAGAGAAAAGTGTACTCAGGTTGGCGTCCCCCGTGAAAGTGCACTAAAACATAGAAAAAGCCCCAGTTAAGGAATATGGAATGTGCATGTTCTTGAATAGTTACAAAAGAAAATCTGAAAAGTTGCTTATAATCCTCAGGTCCTAAAGCGTAGAGCATGTGGAAAGAGGTGTTTCTTAGGCTTGCACACAGACATGACTTCTGCTACATGTTTGTGAGAAGATACTTGCATTATGCAAGATAATTCATCATAGGTTCCTAGGAAATAGTAATATATATATTAACAGTAGAAATATGGAAGCTGAGATTGACAGCAAATTTACCTTCCGAGCTTCAGTGTCCTTCCAAACATTGCCTGCAGATCCAAGAACGACAACAACTGCAAGTTGAAATAAGAATATCGCACCAGTAAGCTTATCAATCATTGCATCCATGGCAGTAAGCTTGGGTTCTGGGACTCCCCTACTCATCCCCAACTTAGTCTCATTGCCTGCAAAGTTGAGATAAATAAACGGTTGGGCTTATAATCTCAAGAGAAATAAAATATCAAGATAAGATAAACTTTCTCAAATATTGTCATATGGATCAGTCAGGATTAGAATAGAAAACTGTCCACCTGGTTCCACGTTCATACCTATGTAATTAGTGTTAAACTCTATCTTACTAATCCTATATATCTAAGTAAACGATTCCTATATATCTAAGTAAATGATCCCATTTAAATGCACATGCAAGCCATCCACATCATCAAGAGCATGCACCACTTTTCACTTTTCACTTCCCACCACTTGCAAGTCATCTGCATCATCAAGCACATGCAACCCTTTCACTGTTCAATTTCCACTTTCCATCATATGCAAGCCCTCTACATCATCAAGCACATGCAAGCCCTCCACATCATCATTTTTTATTTTTTATTTTTTCAGTAACAAATAACTGAACTTGAATGTCACAAGGCAATATAACATGCATCCACAATCTAGTTACCTCTAGGTTTGTTACCGTTCATATGGTGAGAACATGGTGCGGTATTATTTTCATGTATTCTACTTATTGTTATTTTGATAATTTCATTGCTATAAATTTCCACAGCTACGCGCAGGGTGTTATCTAGTAGACACAGTCTTTCCTTCAAACATACATTGTCAACATGTTCGCCCTCCAGAGAGAACTGAGTATGAACTATGAAAGTGAACCGATACTAACACTGACGCAAAAGTGTAAGAAAAACATACTACATGTTTGAACTACAATCTGGTTTGGTGTAGTGGTAGACAAGGTCATGACAAAATAATTCAAAACTTACCTGTATAAACTGCCACTCCACAAGCCCATTCTGTATTTCTCAAGTAGCACGATTGTAGTAATGTGTTATTAATAGTCAATGGACAAATATCGTTATCAATAAATGGAGGAAACAGCCTGATGTTTGCATCGAATCTTCTTATGTCTTTGTCTGGGATTGGGCACTCAATGACACCCTGTGTTCAATTAATGCATGCAGGTAGTGAGGAATAATAAATAAAAGCAGAATCATAGGCATGCAGAAACAAAAATGCCAGAACCTTTATTTTGTGCAATTGTTCAGAGTCCAGTCCTACACATGTTGTTGGAATTACTCTTGTTTTCAAGTCAATTTCCCCGTCAAGGGCAGCTGTCTACAAAATAAACAAAACTCAAGAGTGTTAGGTTTACAATAGACATTCATCTACTGTGTTTTATTTTGTACACAACAAGATTTGAAACATAGCTAGGTATTAGACAAGGAATAAAATCATCAGGAATTCAGGATATCACAAATGAAGTTTAAAATGTGGCTACCACAAAATATACAGGAAGGGCTAATATTGTTCATCAAATTAACCTCGGTTATATCAAGAACAACGTTGGGTCAGTCAGATTGCACATCATAGAAAGCAAAATCCAAGCTACCATTTAAACTCAAACAAAAAGCAACACTGCAGGATTATTCTAACAATGTATAGGCTGAACATGATCAGAGTGTGTTCAACCAATACACTGTAAAATTTGAATTGAACTATAAACTATTTATCTCGAGTTACATGAAGACTATTTCACGAAACAGAAATAAAAGCTATGCAAACATCCAGTTCTATGGTTTAGGAGTCTAGGACTCCTTTCCTTTTTCTAGATAGACTCTCTAGAGCAAATCTATTGTATATCTTTTGCCCTGATTCTTTGTAGGCACTGGCTATTCTTGCTGCCTGTTTGTAGATACTCTTGTAAACATGCTCCTTTATTGTAAATAGAATATATACTGCAGAGGCCTCCCCTACAATTTTCCCGTCAAAAGTGGTTGAACACCTACATAACCCAAAATGGATGCGTTTCTTATCCTGGTAAAAACCAGATAAAAATGCTGATCTAACATGAGGGCAATTGAAAACAAAAACTTACCAAACACATTATGATAGTGGAATTCACAAGCATCAGTCATCATTTGTACATCAAAAAAATTCACTGAACAACTTGAGGTGCTTCACCTCAGCTGAGAGAATACCCACTATTCTCGTACAGACTAAGTTAGACATGGACAGCACTTCACATTGGAATATCGAGTTGGACATATAGCATGCATATCAGTTCGCATACACAACAGAATTCCCTTTTTTTAAGCAAAATGCATTTAGGTTACTCAAGTCCAAAAGTTGAATGCAGTTAAAGGTTAATCATAAAACAAAGGTGGGAGGTGGAATTTAAGCACTGTTGGCTTCACCGTGTTTTACCTCAACATGACAAATGCCTTGAGGTTCAGAAGTTCCTGTTAAAACAAGGTCACATGGAACTTCTTCATTCTCTCGAATCCATACTATGTTACCAACACGGATATCTTGTGCTTGAATCTACATAAAAGAATTGGAGAAACCATATTCACAGGTGCAAGTTTCAAAATAGTACCCAGTCCATACACTTGGAAATGACAACAAAAAGTAAACATAAAGTAGTGGTTATTGACAAATAGGTATGCATCTTGATCTACATCTATACTGTTAAACAATGTGAACCAAAACAAGTATTGAGTTTGCAAGAATATCAGACATCTCAAACAAATTATTTTCAAATTTGGATACACATACACCATTCCTACACTATTTGTATAATACAATTAAACGCTTCATGATATATGTCACCCACAACTGCACTGGCTAGGGCCAGCGGGAGCAGCCACTCTGTAACCAAGTTGAGATTGCATTAGTTAGCATCTTATCTCTTTAGTTGCTATCTTATCTATTAGTTAGGTAAGTTATTATTAGACTGGTCTTACTAAATCTTTCAGGCGAGCCATCTTTATAATAAGGCCTACTGCAATACTTGGCATTAAGAAAAACTAAGAATAAGCAGGTTCATCCATAGCTCTAGTCTCATGTTCTACCCCTAAGGAAGCATTCCCTGGCTATCCAAGTGGTATTTGTAATAATTTTATGCTTACAATGTAACCAAAAAAAGTCTCCAAGAAAAACATACATGTTTGCGTGCACCATTCTTTACAATCCACACTTTCTTCTCATTCGCTTGCTTGTCTGAAATGTACCTATTGTAGTCATCCCAGGCCTCTTTGGTTGCCGAAACGGCGAAAATTACTATAAGTGGGCCCCATGTGCTTGCAGGATTTACAGGAGTAATAAGTGACCACAGTTGGAGACATGCTATCAATAGGAAATATTGATTCATGAAACGCCTGAAACACCAAATCAAGCATTAGTTCTACAAAGTACAGGCAACACAACTTCAGTCAGGGCTTCTCCACCAAGAAAGCCAGAAATGTACTCACATTTCTGAAGTCATTACAGAATGAATGCTAATATAAAATACGAACCTGAATTGCTCCCATAGATTCTTGGGCAGGAAGTTCCATAAGGTATACTTTGTGTTAGAAATCTGATTATCACAGTAGTCATTCTGGTACGATTCGTCATTTATGTAGACAAAGCGCTTCATTGCTAGAAACAACCATGCACTCTATTGTAATTTGTCCCCTATGATTATCCTCGTGAAATCAGCTGAGCACTCCTGCTACAAAATTAAAGAGCGCCAGCTTAAGAATGACAGCAAGATGGGAGCTCCAAGTGAATCAGCATCGATCTTTACAAACTGCCGGCGGTTGATTAGTCAACATCCGAGCAAGGGGAAAAGGAATTTTTCGAAGATGATCAGAATTCAGCATGGTTCATTCAAGCTCCAATGGGATCTGTGCCTATGACTATGGTGGTTTGCTCAGGCAGCATCCAACTGAACTGAGCTGACATTCATTTAGTCTATGCATTCGATCTGCAAAGCTAAGTAAGCGAGTTACGAATGAAATCATCTACAGCTATGCAAAACTCATCCGTCCATCTTGTCATTTCCCAACCACCACCGAATGCTAAGCAAGAGCTACCCTATCGAAATTCTAAACATCACTGTCCACGTCGGTTTCGTTTCCGATCGCCCGCGCCCGATCTAGTCGTGCGCGAGGGCGCAAGGATAGCGCGGGATCGCACGGATCGGCTGAGGTTTAGGGGAGAGAGGTGAGGTGATGAATATATACCGGATGAGCCCAGATCTCCGACGGAGGGCGGCTGCAGCTGCGGCGGTCGGCGGTCGGCGGCGAAGGCGGTGGTGGACGGAGTTGCGGAGGGGTGGAGCAAGGTGGGGAGTCGTGTCTCGGGCTAGACTGGGTGGAGCCGTGGAAGCGGGACGCGGTTCGTCTGACTCTGACGGACCCGGCCCGATCGGACGAAACGGGTTCCGACTTCCGACCCAACCAAAGCCGGGAGCAGACGCCCAGGCGCGCCCCACCGCCCTGCCCCCGCTCCGTTGCTCCCACCCAGGCCCCCATCGCACGGCGGTGCTCCCCGGCGGCGGCCGCCACCTCTGCTGCGCCGCCGGCCAGCTGGCCCGCCACCCTACCCTGCTTGACTGCTCCCCCGCCTGCTTGTTGCTCGCCGACTCGCACAGGTAGTAGCTGCTGTTTCTGAATTTTCGGATAGGGAGGAGAGGAGTGCTCACAGCCGGACAGAGGACAGGGTAATTTCTATTTCTAAACCATGGCCAGTTTTTTTTTTTTTTGAACGGACAAACCATGGCCAGTTGAAACTGAACTGAAATAGAACTGCGTTTATGTATTGATCGAGCTCGAATTGTTGCATTTTGATACCATCTGTTGTTTGTAGAAATAGAAGATGAAGAGATGCTGCTAAGTTTTCATATTTGTACCAATGATAATTATATTTTGGGAGGCACAGATTTCATATTTGTATCCACGGTAGAAAGGAGTAGCAAATAAATTATAAAATTATTGAGCAACTGAACCATATTTGGTACTACTATGTTTTCACATGGGTAGTTGTAGAAGTAGTTCTTTCATGTTGTCAGAAAAGGAATTTGGCCCGGTTTTAACTCCAATCCTACCTCCTCCACTAACGTGTTCTTTAAAATGCCCGGTGCAGACCTAACGATGCTCATCGACAACACTGAGCATGGATCCAACGCAGCGAAACCAGGATTTTGCATTGCAAATTTAGTTATGGTTCATGGTGCGCTTACTCTGGGTGTTAACAACATGTTGCAGGCCGAAGCAACTATTGGCGGTGGCAGGATGGAGGTGAAGCTCAAGGACCTTGTCCCATCGACCAACACCGTGAACACGACGTTCATCGTGGTCGACAAGGTGACCCGTCCAGCCCATGGAAACGCGCATGGCAGGGAGGAGACATGCCTGTCAGTGGTGGCCGACGAGACGGCGGCGGTGCATTTCCTGCTATGGGGCACCGAGTGCGACGCCTTGGAGCCTGGGGACATCCTGCGGCTCACGAGCGGCATCTTCTCCTACCATAGGGGCAACAAGCTCTTCCTGCGGGCGGGTAAGCGAGGACGCACGGAGAAGGTGGGTGAGTTCACCATGACGTTCATCGAGACACCCAACATGAGCGAGGTGAGGTGGGGGCCCGATCCAGGCGATCCGAGGAAAATGGTGCAGGACGCCATCCTGTCGCCCTGCTCCCAGGTCTTCGAGCCGCTGCACTGACTGATGCCATGCCATCGTTTCAGGCTTCCAGCTCCTTGTTGCTCGTCAAGCTTGGCAATTAGAGTACTTATTGCTACCATTGTTGATTGGTTTGGCATCACCAATATACGACACTAAAATTAGAATTCTCTTATGAGATCATATAGGGAGCCTGCACCCTGCTCTCGGCGGACAAATACAACTCATTCTCGCCCCTCTGCGATAACAAATTCAGATTGCGACTAGCTTTTAATCGTTTGCAATTGGGCTTAGTTTTCGGTTTCCAACTGTATTGTGGTGTTATTCTAACATAGTGAATTGCAGAAAATCACTACATTGAAGCCTAGGTTTACAGAAAACACCGTTCTTTGAATTTCTGCCGGAAAACACTGATTTTCAGCTTAGTCTTTTCCGGAAAGCATTGACCCATCGCTTTAGGCAATTTAACCTCGATTATGACATGTGGGGCCCTTTTTCATGACGTGGCGTAATGGATGCGATCTGACGACGTAAAACGGTGTAGCTAGGTCATAACCGGCTCATGTTTCTTTTTTCCCTCCATCTTTTCATTCCCCCCTTTCCCTGCTCTCTTCTGTCTCTCTGCCTCGTCCATGGCTACGGCGAGCCCTGACGCCGGTGACGAAGTGGATGAATCCAGCGGCGATGCCGCAGGAGGGTTGCTCGGTGTGGAGATCCGAAGCCACTGGAGGAGGTCTGCGGCGGCTCTAACCCTAGCCAGGCCCCAGATGAGAGTGTCGTCGCTCGAGTACCGTGCCGCCTGCGCTCTCGCCTGTGATGTGTAGGCGACTCCGACGGGGAGCCACTAGTGGGCATCGGCATTCGGCGGTGTGGAGTAAGTCCCCCCCCCCCGGCGTCGATTCTAGGGTTAGGGTTCTAAACCAAATTAGGGGTTTTTGCTTGGCCAAGCACTCCATTTCCGAACCGAGGACAGGTTAGGGTTTAATACAAATTGGGGATTTTGCAGCTTACTACTGTGAGATTCTATTTGGTTGTTAGGTTTTTCGGTTTGAAAACTTATTTAGTCTAGTTTAACCTCCACTGTGTTTGAAGAAATTTAGTGGACGGTATAATTTGAAATACACTTTGTACCCTGTTTAGTAGACAGTCTAATATAATTAGATAGTGTACCCATCAAATTAGATAGTCTAATTTAGACAGTATAATTACATAGTGTACACTGTCGATTAGATAGTATATTTAAGTTGTTCACTATTTTTGTTCGTAGTAGTTATGCACTGTAATTAATTATTAGAAATTTAAGTAGTTGATATGGACCATTTAATTATTGTATAGTGTCTTTGTTTGTATTTTGTCCGATGATCTTTGGGAAGTTAGACTTCACTTTCATGATAGGGATAATTTGGGAAGGACTATGTGTGTTTCAGACATCACATTCTCAATCTTTTAACACTCATAGAATCAGCAGGATATGGATCTAAGGACTACATGTATAATGTGAGGGGTGCTGGGTTGGGAATAGCAGGTTTGGAAGAGATATGTGATGATGACAAGGTTGATGAGATGCTGGACCACATTGCCAACAAATATCAGAACAAAACGCCCGACGTGGTCAAGTCAAGTCATGCGTGCAGAGGCCGAGATAGAGGAAGCTAGTACGTCTCCGGTATGGTTGCGAGACGGGGCCTCCATGCAACCTCGCACGGGCTCATCACACCGTCACCGCCGACGAGGATCTCGCCCGTCCTGGATTTACTCTCCACTGCGGCCTGCTCCTCCAGCCTCGCCATGAACTCCGCCGCCTCCCTCCTCGTCATCAGCACCTTCAACCGCATCCCGCCGTCCTCCACGCGGCACTCTGGCCATGCCACCTCCTTTTCCTCAACGATGTCCTTGGCCACTGCTGGCCGCTCCTTCCTCTTCACCCTCCTGGCACCGGCGGCGATGGTGGTGTCCACCACCCTGGTTTCCCTGGACGTGTGTGGCAGTGGCAGGACGTTGCCCATGTTTGCGCAACCAAGCTCGTGTGCTAGAGAAAGTGAGGAGGAGGTGGTGGCGTCGTTCGTGTGTTTCGAGTTCTGAGTGACACTTCCCTATGTTATTATATAAGATACCCGCATTGGCAGAAGTTGGTGTTTGGAGTGTTCATGGCCAGCCGCAAACTTAAGCATTATTTCCTTGCACATCCAATCACGGTAGTCAGTTCTACTCCACTTGGCGACATAATTAAAAACAGAGAGGCTACCGGCCGGGTTGCTAAGTGGTCGATTGAGCTTGGGCCGCATCATCGTAAATATGTGCCCAGAAAAGCCATCAAGTATCAAGCTTTGGTGGATTTTATAAATGATTGGACAGAGCTGCAAACGCCTGAGGAGAAGCCTGACAATACATATTGGACGATACACTTTGAAAGGATCGATATAGTTGACTAGAGGGGGGTGAATAGGCAACTAACAATTTTTAACTTTTCTTAACCAAATTAAACTTTGCATCAAAGTAGGTTGTCTAGATATGCAACTAGGTGAGCAACCTATATGATGCAATAACAACAAGCACACAAGCAAGCAAGGAATATAACACAAGATAGATTGCACAAGTAAAGGTAAGAGATAACCAAGAGTGGAACCGATGGAGACGAGGATGTGTTACCGAAGTTCCTTCCCTTCGAGGGGAAGTACGTCTCCATTGGAGCGGTGTGGAGGCACAATGCTCCCCAAGAAGCCACTAGGGCCACCGTATTCTCCTCACGCCCTCACACAATGCGAGATGTCGTGATTCCACTATTGGTTCCCTTGAAGGCGGCAACTGGACCTTTACAAACAAGGCTGGGGCTCTCTCTCCACAACTTAATTGGAGGCTCCCGACGAAACCCCAGAGCTTCACCACAATGGAATGTGGCTCCGAAGTGACCTCTTCCGTCTAGGGCGCCCAAGCACCCAAGAGTAACAAAATCCATACACGAAAGTATGGGGGAATCAAATATCCTTTGGTGGAAGTGTAGATCTAGGTCTCCTCCTTCAATCCCTAGCAAATCAACAAGTTTGAGTGGCTAGAGAGAGAGATCGGGCAAGTAAGCTTCAATGGCAGTAATGGAGGAGAGAGAGAGTCAAGTGGTAGGTGGGAGGTGGGAGAAGCACCTCCTTAAATAGGGTCCCCTCAGATCCAACCTTTATGCGCAGAAATGCACAGGAGCGGTACTTCCGCAATACGCACCGGTACAACCGGTGAATGCGGGAAACCCCTGCGAGGGCACCAGGGCGGTACTTCCGGTGAGGCAACCGGTAGTACCAGTATATCGGAACATACCGGAACTACCGTCCCACCACCACCTGACTACTGCTGCACCAACAGAACGAAATGACCCCAGGCCGGTAGTTAGAGCGGTGGTTGGGCCGGAGCTACCACTAGGCCAGCAGTTCCTGAGTAGTGGAGTTCGAGGCGGTACTACCGCCCGAAACACCGATAATACCGGTTTGTCAAGATAAACCGAAACTTTTGTTCCACTACCGCTCTACCACCGTACCCAGTACAGAAGGGAGTCACCCCTGAGCGGTACTTGGTGCGGTGGTAAGACCGGAACTACCAGCCAGCGGTACAACCGCTCAATGGAGCGGTACTACCGCCATGGGTAGAACTGCACAGAACAGAGGACTTTGGGGAACCCCTCTCTCCTCGAACGGAGGGTATATGGTGGGTGCAGAGAACGTGTACGTGAAATGATTCACCCAATACCATCCGATGTGGATTCCCTCTTAATAGTACGGATATCCTACGACCAAATTAATAAAACATCGGAAACTCCGTCTTCGATCTTTTCCGCATAGAGGGAAGGCCTAACCGTCTCGTGCCACACAATGTGTACCTGAGAAAACTATGGTGCACGATTATTCCACACGAGTGTTGTCATCATCACCAAAACTCTAAGGCAGAAGATGCCCTTGCAATCTCCCCCTTTTGGTGGATGATGACAACCACACGAAAAGCAGGGAGTTCTAGAAAATATAGACGGGGCTCCCCCTGAGTGTGAGCACTGTTTAGAGTTTGCTTTGAGATTGCAAATGCTCACACTAGGGTCAATGCTCCCCCTAGATTTTATAGACCAACAGTGATAGCGAAACACAATACCAATGATAAAGCACATAATAGCATAACATTAGCATGCAAGCTTTACTGACAGACGAGTGCATAGATAATTAGATAAGGAATGCATGTCTTACACCATGCACAAAGTCACAACATAGGACAAGTTCACAAGACACTAGAAAGAACAACTACAAAGGAACGCACAAGACCAACTGCAAATGAACCCCCCATGCAACTCTCGTGACCTAATGGAGCTCTCTCCCCCTTTGGCATCAAGACACCAAAAAGGAAAAGAGCAAAGCTAGCACCCGGGGCTCAGTAGATCTCCTCGCCAGATGCCGCAGAGCTGTCAGAAGCATCATTATCAGCAGCAGCATCGTCAGGCTCCTCAGCCTCCTCAGACCCCACTATAGTCACCTCAGGGCCACGGACAGAAGAGGTAGCAGGCGCTTCATCAGACCACTGGCAGTTCTCCAAGCACCACGTATCCTCAGGAGTGATGGTCTTCTCAGAGCCACTCTTCACATCTGGCACATTGAGGTGCCTCATCAACTGAATCTGCCTGCGACGCGCCATCTTCTCAGCAACATGGGCCTTGTAGAGCTTCTTATGAATATGAGTCTGTAAGCAAAAGGTCTTCTTGATCTTGGAAGTCAGCTTCTCAACCCAAGTGGGTTGGGCCCCAACCTCCAACTCAAAGTCATCGTCGTCCAAGGTAGCATACACATCCTCTTGATTGCCCATAGAAAAACAAGGAGTCTTATGCTTCTTCTTCCTCATAACCTTAACCTCATGCTCTGTGAGGTTTGCAGGAGTGGAGTGAGACTCTCCTGGCCTACGGACTGCCCAAACGGTGTTCAGAAATTGCATCACAAAAGGAGCATAGATCGGTACCTTGCGGTACCACACCATATTGTACATCTCCTCCCACATCCACTTGGAAACATCAAACGTGGCAC